TCCTCTCGGCTTGGTTTCCCTCGAAGCTCTCTTTCTCTCCAAACTCAACATATAATTCCCTCTCAAGCCTAGCTTGTTCATGACAGCCCATCTGGTGAGGTGCACCATTGGGATTATCTACAACTTGACTCGGCAAATGGCATTCCTCTCTCTTATAAACCGCTTAAGCTATTTGACCTATTTGGGTCTCTAGCTTCCTAATAGATTCGGAATGGGAATGTAATATCTGATAATGCTGCTCTAAGTCATTGAACCTAGCATTCATGTCATCTTTTTTTTCCTGCATGGTCTGGAGCATTTGAGCCATCATTGATTCCAGTGAACTGGGCACTAGAGTAGGTTGCTGGACAGGAGGTGGGATCCTAGGTTGGGTGGGTGGTTGGACCGAATACATGTCCTAATAATTGCCCTGTTGATTGGAAGAACTATATGTCATATTGTGGGAGACATTCTGAGATTGTTCCTGCTTCCATGCATGTAACAACTGCTGTAAACTAGTACAATGCATGCATAATAATAATAGAAAATGGGCCCAAAACTTTTCTTTTTTATTATATGTAATAAATCTTTTATACACAAAGAGCATCGTTTACAAAAAGCCATTTACAAAGACAAAAACAGGGGAAACAGTGTAGCTATTGCTCCTCGCTTGTGGACGCCCCTCCGACTGCGTCATCACCTAGATCCTGCATCCACAAAGAAAAATAACGGGGTGAGCACAAAATAATGCTCAGTAAGTAAACCCTCTATCTATTTATCCCCGTATGTATTGCTCTTAATTCTTTCCTCACACTTTCTGTTGTTTTCTACTAAACGTCATGGCCTCATCTTATCGGAGGTACGACCGGATGGCGTTCACACAGCACCATCTCACTCTTCATGACTGTCGGGTGGAGTTCACACAGCACCAACCCGCTCTTAGTGACAACAGAGTGGGGATCACGAAGCACCTACCCAGTTTTCGTAACTATCGGGTAGAGATCACAAAGCACCTATCCGTTCCTCATGACTTTCGGGTGATGATCACAAAGCATCAACCCGTTTCTAATAACTAATCGGGTGATGATCACAAAGCATCAACCCGTTCCTAATAACTGTCGGGTGATGATCACAAAGCATCAACCCATTTCTAATACTCTTCTCATTCACTCTACTCTAGCACCTCTCATTCTCTCTACCCTTAGAGTAGTTGCATCCACAAGTTCTCTACTCTTAGAGCAAGTGCATACACAAAGTCTCCTACTCTTTCTTAAGTCACTTCTCAATGCACAATTAATGCCTATTGATGGTTCATCTCCACTAATGCACTTATGAAATGCCAACATGCAATGTTGCAAGAATTAAGGTTCACTACTCATACTCAAACCTCTATTAGGCATTTCATCAAACAACTCAAGTGCATAAAACCAAAACCCTACTGTAACAATAATTCTATGTCTTTCTCTAACCACCAAAAGGGGGAAAACTCCCTCACATAGCCATATTTCCTGCCATAGAATAGCACTTCCGAAAAGGATTTCTCAATATCTCATTCAATCCAAACTAATTTCAACCACATCTCACTCTCACAATTAAAGTGTCTAACAACCACAAGCAAATAATCTCCATTTAAAACTCAATAACATAGCAATAACATGTTATACATACATACATAATGGCTATTAAAAACCCTAATCAAGAAAAATCTCAAATCTCAACTTGGGTTGGGATTTACTTACTTTGTTATGGAGAGATCTCACTAGCTCTTCCTTTCTCGATTTGCTTGACTCTTTCTTACTCTTTAAACAAATGAACCAAACCCTCAATATTCAAATATACATAAAAACTCACAAAGCTTCACATCCAAGCAAGAATCCTTACCTTAGGGTGCCTTAGATTGATATTACCCTTAATCACTCCAAAAGCCCTTTAAAGTCCTGAACAAAAGAAGGAGAAATTGAGAGGAAGTAAGAAAGGAGAGTGGCGATGGAGAAGAAGAATGAAGGGGTTGCAATGTTCATCCCTTTTAATGAAATTTATGCACAAGCATTCCCATTTGCCCTTACTCATCCTTAGGAATTTTATCTATATCCTTGATTATTACAAAACACACCCCATATCAACATATTCTCCATGAAAATTCCTACATATTACCCCACTTTTCCTACTAATTAGGGTGGTAGATGGTCAAATTGCCCTTAGGGAAGAAAATATCTAAAACTTAACAAAGATTTTGGTCGACCCGTCGCCGCGGCGAAGAGCTTTGTCGCCGCGGCGAAACTGTCAGCAGCTTCCCGTGGCTTCAACACTTCTTCGCCGCAACGAAGATTATTCTTTGCCCGGCGAAGCCTGGAACACTGAACTTCTTCTATTTCAACCAATTTCAGGGCAGTATTCAACATATCACTCAATCAAAGGTCAACCAAACAATACTACTAATAAACCAACTCAAAAGAGCAAAAGAAGAAACATTAGCTACGTACCTCAAGTGGGGCGTAGCCTGATGGTACTCACCATGCTCCCCAATTGACTATAGCCCCTTGGTCTTGGGTTCGAGTGGTGGGGGGGAGGGAGAAATCCCTTAAGGGGGGGACAGTACTTTGTGAGTCACATACCTGTGTGGGTATCGCGAGGAACTCCTATGTGGGGCGGCGGGCGTGACAATAAAAAGGCGCCTTTTATTGTGAGGACCGGATTCTGCTCATGGGCTATCCAATCTTGGGCTCTTCCCTCATGGGCTTTCCCAATCTTGCCCCGGCGAACCAACTCATAGGAATTCTCCCCCCCCCCTTAAGGGATTTCTTTCGCCTCTCCCACCACTCGAACCCAAGACCAATGGGCTATAGTCAATTGGGAAGCATGGTGAGTACCATCAGGCCAGCTAGCCTGATGGTACTCATGGTGCTTCCCATTTGCCTAGTAAAGAAAATGCTCAAATAATAGTGCTCGATTCACCCACAATTGAGATCCATTATCAGTGGCTCAAAAACTGAGTAAAACGAGTTATCGGGCTTAGGTGGCTTTCTGCTCATTTTGTCATCAGCTTTTCGGTGAGATCGGCCATGTTGTATGCCTAAACTCAGTATTGATTATACATAAAAGAAAATGCCCAAAAACTAGTGCTTGATTCACCCACAATCGAGATCCATTATTGTCACGGCCTGCGGCCCCATACAGGAGTTCCTCGCGGTGCCCACATAGGGCCCACATAGCACCGTGACTCATAAAGCTATCTCCCCCCCCCCCCCCTCTTAAGGGATTTCTTTCGCTTTCCCCACCACTCGAACCCAAGCTAGCCTGATGGTACTCACCATGCTTCCCAAATTACTATAGCCCCTTGGTCTTCAGTTCGAGTGATGGGGAAAGTGAAAGAAATCCCTTAAGGAAGAGGGGGGGGAGATAGCTTTGTGAGTCACGGTGCTGTGTGGGCCCTGTGTGCGCACCGCGAGGAACTCTTGTGTGGGGTCGCGGGCTGCGACAAAACACCCCTAATAATAAAAAGTTTATAAATTGACAAAAACACCCTCACTCTCCCACAGTTGCTAGATTTCAGCCACCATCATCAGAATCTGGCCGAAAACTTTTTTCATTGCTCACGACTGACCAGATTTGGCTGATCGTGAGCCACTATGGCCTTTTCCGGCCAAATCTGTGGTGGATTTGGCTAGAAAAAGTCAAATCTCTTGCTAGAAAAGGCCAGATCTACGGCCACATCTGGCCACATCTAGCCGTCAATGACAGCCAAAGATATGGTCATTATTAATGGTCAACGACAGTCATATATTAGCCGTCATTGATTGCCAGATCTTTGGTCGTGGATCTAGCCTTTTTCGGCTAGATTCCAGCCAGATCCACAGTGGATCTAGCCGAAAAAGGCCAAATCAACATTGCACCTACCAAATTCAGCCGGTAGTGCACCATTACACCAAATTGGGGTCACCTTTCAGCGATGGTTACCAGAATATGACAAATGTGGGTGGGTGGATAGGGGTGTTTTTGTCAATTTATAAAACTTGTTTGTTATGGGTGTTTAGTTAAATAAACAAACCTATGGGGGTTTAAAATAGTTGAATAGTATAGGATATGATTTTGAGAATAGGAAAACAAACATACATTTTTCAGAATAGGAATGAGTATTTTGAAAATAGCCAAACAAACACAGCCAAAACTTGACATTTTGGACTGTTCCCATTTTATCCAAGTCCAAAAGATTTATATTTCTGAATCAGTATTAGATCTTCATGGTGCCATCAACATATGACTTTCCTATACTCTTATCTAATCTTTGGAAAGAAAAAAAAAAGTGGTTTTTATATATTTTCCCATATTGACAAGGAATTTATTTTTAACAATTGAAAATACTATAATTTCAATTGATTTGTCAACTCTGTATAACTTAATTACTATAATAAATATATAATATCGCAATATTTGTTATAAGGGTGACAATATTCTTTTTAGAGTTTGTATCTTCCTATTTTAGTCTTAAATAAAATAAATAGCTTCACCAGCACCATCCATCCGCCACCTCAATGCTGTTCATGAAGTGTTTTTGATGTCGCCTATTTAATTTTATGGTAGTGTTTATCCCCAAATATTCACCATTACTGCCATTGGATTTTTAGTTATCACCATCCTGCATGATGGGATAATCCAACAGAGAATGTCTCCTGATCACTAAGTGGGCTGTTGTGTTATCGGTGGCAAGAGAACTAACTAAAACACACTTCAACTATAAATTCTATATATAGAGGGAGCACAGCTGCAATGCTGCATTCCTAGCCTTGTTTTTCAGATTTCATAACCGAACCATGCAATCAGTTATAATCTCCTGCAATCATTTATGTATTATGCGTTTCTATAAATTAGAATCAAAATGTAATCTACATATCTGTATCTATTTATTAATTATATGCTTTAAATCTCATGTCTCTAATCCGATCCCTCCCTTAATTTTTTTTACATGGCTGAGGGGTGTCCGGGCAACTGCTGTTGATTGTCGATGCTTTTTCCTCATCAGGATGGCAACCAACAATTCGACAACCGCGGCATGCCCTGCACCAATGAAAGCTACATCAAATGGATCCTTCCAAGGTGAAAATCCACTTGATTTCGCTCTTCCCTTGGTCATCCTTCAGATGTGTTTAGTTGTTACTTTCACAAGGTCCCTTGCTTTCCTTCTTAAACCTCTGAGACAACCACGAGTCATAGCTGAGATCATTGTAAGTTTTGTGATTTGTTGTAAATTATTTTATTATATAATCAATCTGATTTTGAGTTGTATGATACGCATATGGGCTCAGGGTGGAATACTACTTGGACCGTCTGCATTAGGGAGAAGCGAGAAATTTCTGCACACAGTTTTCCCTAAAAAGAGCATGACTGTCCTTGACACCCTGGCCAATATAGGCCTCCTCTTCTTTTTGTTTCTTGTGGGTCTTGAGCTTGATATCGGAGCCATTCGCCGCACTGGTAGCAAATCCTTAGCAATAGCCCTTTCTGGGATCACTCTGCCTTTTGTACTTGGCATTGGTACGTCATTCCTTCTTCGTTCCACAATTTTACCTGGAGTCCATCAAGGCCCTCTCCTTGTTTTCATGGGTGTCTCCATGTCCATCACTGCTTTTCCAGTCTTGGCTCGTATTCTGGCCGAGCTAAAACTCCTCACAACAGATGTGGGTCGCATTGCAATGTCTGCAGCTGCCGTCAATGATGTTGCTGCCTGGATACTCCTCGCACTTGCTATTTCTCTTACTGGAGCCAACACTTCTCCTCTTATTTCTGTTTGGGTCCTCCTCTCTGGTGCTGCCTTTGTGGTTTTTTCCATTTTTGCAATAAAGCCACTACTAGCGTTGATGGCTAGGCGTTCTCCTGAAGGTGAGCCGGTTAAAGAGCTCTACATATGCATAACATTATCAGTAGTGTTAGCCGCAAGTTTTGCCACTGACACCATAGGCATACATGCACTTTTTGGGGCTTTTGTGATGGGAATAATCATTCCCAAGGATGGCCCTTTCGCAGGGGTTTTGATAGAAAAGATTGAAGATCTAGTTTCGGCACTTTTACTGCCGCTCTACTTCGCATCCAGTGGGCTGAAGACGGATGTTACAACAATGAACGGAGCTCTTTCTTGGGGCTTGCTATTACTTGTTATATGCACTGCATGCTTTGGGAAGATAGTTGGGACAGTGTTTGTAGCTTTTCTATATAAAGTTCCTTTCAGGGAAGCCGTGGCACTTGGATTCCTTATGAATACTAAAGGTTTGGTGGAGCTGATCGTACTCAATATTGGCAAGGACCGCAAGGTATCTTATTTGGATCATTGCGATTTTAATTTCTTTCTTGATTCATTTTTTTATGACTTGTATTTGTCTTTTAAGTCTAAACCGATCAATCAGTTGGTAATACATCATGCTATGGTGTTGTTGTTGCAGGTGTTGAACGAGCAGGCTTTCACAATCCTAGTTCTGATGGCGTTGTTCACCACCTTCATCACCACTCCTATTGTGATGGCTGTTTATAAACCCGCCAGAAAGGGAGCCCCTTACAAGCAACGGACGGTTCAACGAAAAGACCGAGATACAGAGCTGAGAATCCTGGCTTGTTTCCATAGCACACGTAACATCCCTTCAATAATCAATCTCGTAGAATCATCCAGGGGTATACGGAAACGGGCGCGGCTCTGCCTATATGCCATGCACCTTATGGAACTCTCAGAGCGATCATCCGCCATTATGATGGTTCATAAAGCCCGCAACAATGGTCTCCCCTTTTGGGATAATAAACGTGATGATAAAGATTACATGGTCATCCCGTTTGAGGCCTATCAGCAACTAACCAGCGTGACGGTGCGCCCTATGACAGCCATCTCTGCATTTAATAGCATTCACGAAGACATTTGTACAAGCGCACACCGGAAGAATGCTGCATTAATTATATTGCCATTCCACAAGCACCAGCGGATAGATGGAGTGATGGAATCGTTGGGACACTCTTTCCGTCTGGTGAACCAGCGTGTCCTCCAACATGCCCCTTGCTCGGTGGGAATACTTGTGGACCGTGGTTTAGGAGGCACCACCCAAGTCTCAGCCAGTGAGGTATCTTTCACGGTGGTGGTGCCCTTTTTTGGGGGGCAGGATGACTGTGAGGCGCTTGCATACGGAATGAGGATGGCTGAGCACCCAGGAATCAAGCTCAACGTCATCAAGTTTTTGGCTTCACCAAGGAGCAATGATGAAATTAGCAAAAAGGGGAAGGTGTTTGAAGATGCTGATACCTTCTTCTCTGAGTTCAACAATTTTGGCAAGAACCAAAATGCCATCACATGTGATGAAAGAATAGTAGAAAGCAAGGAAGACATCATAATCACACTAAGATGTATGAGCAAATGCAATCTGTTTTTGGTGGGAAGAATGCCTCCAACTTCACCCTTGACGGACGACAGAAGTGACTTCCAGGAACTAGGGCCAGTGGGGTGCTTCTTAGCATCCTCCGATTTCTCTACCACTGCATCCGTTGTGGTGGTACAGCAGTACAACCCTGCAGCAAATCTTCACCCACTTGTGGAGGAGGAAGTGAATGCCAATGCATATGAGGTCCCAGATACACCTGTGGCTGCAGACGCGGTTTGAGAGAGCAGGACTAATTAACTTTGATTTATCTTATCCATGTACATACCGTTTAATTAACGGGGTGGATGGTCTAGATCTAGACCAATAAGACCCAGCGTGTATTTGATTTTAGGGTAAATTTTTATCTAGTCTGTCTTCGCAAATTAAATAATCGGACACATTTGTTTCTGTCTTTTTATAATCCGTCAAGTACACATTTCATTCGCCTGAAAATAATAATATAACGAATTTTATTAACCTTACCAAGGCATAAAATCAAACTTAATTATGCATAACAAACTCCACAACTAGAGTTGAAAAGGAAACTGTTTGGAAGGTGAAAGGCGAGAGAAAAATAATATTTTAGTGTTCCAAAGCATCATTTTGTTAAAGGTTTCGATGATTTTGAGGAGATAAAGAAAAGACAACAGGAGAATATGAATGTATCCGTTGGAGAATTCAAGAACAACTCTGTTTCATTGCATTATTAATAAACCTTTTATTGGCGACTTAATCTTAAGAAATTCAGAAGCAGCAACATGCGTGCTTCAGCTGTGATGCTTCTCCCTGTGATGGTGATGGTTTTCGGCTTGTGTAACCAGGTTGTTTCCCAGAAAGTGCATGCAAGTATCGAAAACAGATTAGACAATGGGAAAAACCTTACAGTACATTGTCAATCCAAAGACGACGATCTTGGGCAACAGAATGTTGCCGACGGAAGTGAATTTGGGTGGGACTTCGCTGTCAATGTAGTGGGAACCACATTATTTTACTGTGATATGGAATGGGACCAGTACCAGTACCATTTTGATGCGTATGCTTTCAACAGGGATTATGTTAGATGTGAGAACCAATGCTTATGGCTTGTTTCCGCTGAAGGTATGTATGGCTTAAACGGACGCACTGGATTTTGGGAATATATGTATCATTGGCCAAAGCCAAACTGATTAAACCACTTGGAATCATTCTTCAATCTCTTTACCACTTAACCTGCACCCTACATATGGATGTCTTGCAATAATTGTAACTCTTTGTCAGATACAATAACCAATTCTAGGCTCTAGCTTGAAAATTGTAAATGTGAAGACTTAAACGATGTTGTGTTACTTTAACCAATACGTTTTCGTTTCAAGAATGAATCTGGACCATCAATCTTCATGAGATCCAATGGCAGAGTTCAGTCCATCCTGGTCAACAATATATAAGCAAATGTTTCTTCTGTTTTCAATAGGGTTTTTTCGATTGATATTGTGTATTAGGTTTTGCTCTACATTCTGTGTAACTTGTTGAGTGATTGGGTTTATCATTCTGATAGAGGGGTATTGTCTCTCTTAGGGTTGGGAATCTAAGTGTTAGTTTCCTAGGTTACTTGTTACCAGATAGGGTGATTTTGGGTTTTCTTGGATCGTTTGATCTTGTGTTTGTAATTTGTAAACTGATTCATCAAATTAGTGCAATCAGCTTCGTCCGTTTCTGGAGCTCAACGTGGGCGTAGCCTTTCCATTCTTGGTGTAGTGTCTAATTAGGGCTTTCAGCTATACTGATCAAATCAATCAATGAGCTAACACAATCTTATCAATCAACATGCAATCAATTAAGAGATTAAAGAAAGCATGAAATAACAGAAAAGAAAATTGACACAGGGGATTTATAGTGGTTCGGCTAAGGTAGCCTACATCCACTCTTCAAGACACACTATAAGGTATTTTATTACTCAAGGAAACCAAGATTACAGAGAGTATACAACCAAGGAAAACAAGAAAGAACACACCCGAATAATCCCTCTTAAAACTCTGCTCTCTTCAGCACATATTGATCTGATTTTATATAGATCAGGACTCCATTGAGCATCCTCCAACTGTCCAGTATAATCTGCAATCGGTTGGAGTAGATGGGTACTAGAATCTTCTATCAATAAGGAAGGTCTAGGGTTGAACAAAAAAGGGACCAGAGAGAACGTGAGGTGAGCTGTGCATTCTATTGCAACAAAATGGAATTTGGGTGCCAGATAAGGCACTTAAGTCTGATAGCTAAAACGATGCCGTATTAGTTTAAATTAGAAGCTGACTTCTTTGACTGATGCTGACTCCACCGTGGCATAAACAAGCCATATCATCATCACAATTCTCCACCTTGGCTTGTGAATTGACACCCTAAGTGGCCTTGGCAAAGCTGAATTATGCTTGAACATGTAATAGGCTNACTGTGTGTAGGACATATCAAACACATGACTGGGTGTTAAACTTAGGATGCTGTTTCCACATGAGTCCTAACAGAGATTGGTTCCAGGACTTTAGGGGTGGTGAATATGAAACTGTCTATATGGGTAACAACAACACTTGCAGAGTGTTAGGATTAGGTTATATAACCCTAAGGTTCGATGATGGAAAACTTATTGTGTTATCAAATGTTAGATACATTCCTGAACTAAAGAGGAACCTAATATCCCTAGATACTCTAGATGAATCAGGCTGTAGCTACAAGGCTGAAAGGGGTTGTATAAATGTGTTTAAAATAACCATATTGTGTTGAGGGGGCTAAAGAAGAATGGTCTGTACCTTTTGTGTGGCAGTTATCACCCTGAGAAAAGGAATAGTGCCCTAGTCTCTACCAATCTTAATACTACGGATAAGTGGCATTTAAGGCTAGGGCATATGAGTGAAAAGGGTATGAGCATTCTTAGCCAATAGGGTTTATTTGGTAAAGATAAAATAACAACCCTAGACTTCTGTGAAACCTGTGTTTTAGGAAAACAACATAGAGGTAATTTTACTAAAGGCATACACGTATCCAAAAACTGTTTAGACTACCTCCATGCTGACCTTTGGGGAGCTAAGAGGATTAGATCTCATGGAGGGAATTCCTACTTCCTTTCCATTGTTTATGACTTCAGTAGGAAAGTTTGGGCATACCTACTAAAGTCCAAAGATGAGGCATTGTCTAAGTTTAAAAACTGGAAAGCACTAGTGGAAAATCAAATAGATAGAAGAGTGAAAGCCTTAAGAACAGACAATGAACCAGAGTTTTACAATATGGAATTTGATAACTACTGTAGGGATCAAGGTATCTTAAGGCATAGGACAGTTAGGACAGGTGTCTACTGTTCACTTCAGACCTTTCAAAAACCTTTTGGGGAGAAGCTTTGACCACTGCTACCTACTTAATAAACAAAAGCCCTACCAGCTCCATAGGATTCAACTGTCCTAAGCCTAAATGGTCAGGAAGAGAGTTAAATCTAAGTCACCTATGGGTGTTTGGATGTGATGCATATGCACACACAAGTGATGGGAAACTAGAGCCTAGGTCCATAAAGTGTATACTTTTAGGATATCAAGAGGGCACTAAAGGTTATAGGTTATGAGATAGAACTGCACCAGGGGTAAAGATCATTATCAGCAGAGATGTAATCTGTAATGAAGGGGATTTCCCTTGCAAGTTTGCTAACATTGATGCAGGCTCTCCAAGCAACAATGTAACCCAACCAGGTCAACCAGACACTACACTAATTGAGGTGGAAGCAACCATTAGGCAACCAAAGGACACCCAAACTGAAGATGACCCTGTACCAGAAGAAGCAACAACACCTGATGGACCTGACTAGCATGAGGGTGAAACAGAAGAGGCCCAATATCCCTTGCTGGATGAGCTGTAGGAATACTAACTAGTAAAGGATAGGACCAGAAAATAGATTAGGCCCCCAACAAGGTACTCATATGAAGAGCTGATCTATACTGCCCTACTCAGAAGCAATAGAAAATGATATATTAGAAAGATTAGAAGGTGGATCAATTAGTTCAGTTGGCTAAGCCCTTGCCCTTTGACAGCATAGTGCAATTGCCAAAGGACATTGATTCCGTTATGAGCTTCTGTTCAGAGTTTCAATATTTTAGACGAGGTCTCATTAATCGTTATTGACCTTTTTTCTCACAGATTCCTATCCTTCAAGGGGGAGCCAACCTGGAATAGAAACCTAATGTAAGGATCCCTAAGGAAAAAACCTAAGTCTCATTCGAAACCGATTAAGTTAGCTCTAACTTATGAGCTTGCTGCTTATGGAGATTAGACCATGCACAGGAAGCCTTCTTTTCGTCGGCAGTGCTGTGGAGGGAGAAGGTACCTTATGCCCTTGACCCGACTAAGACGGCCAATAAAGATCTTGATTGCTTTGAGCATTGGGTAGGTCCAAAACTGGCCACCTTGGAACAGTTTGAATATGAATATCAGGGTTCTTTTTGTAGGTTGGGTTGATGGACGAGCTAACCTAACGAGCTTCCCTTCTACTACCGGAAAGAGGAGTTTACCAACGCTTATTACGAAGCGCCTGAGTGAGATTACTTAGCGTGCGTATCAATTCGAGTCCTTAGCTGGCACTTAACTACGTAGAGCCAGAACGACCTATCACCAACTTCAACGATTCACTTTGAACAAAACAGTACTGAGCAGAGCTTAGCGAAGACCTGTGCCTGACGGATCTTTCTCTGGTGATGGGTCTCTATTGGAATGGACGGTAGCTTCAGACGATGCGCCCCACTTAGTGATTAGTGAATAGAATAAGGGTTGACTCATCACTCAACGATTACTCACCCCTATTGAACCCTTACAGATGACTCTATACGAGGCGCTTGACCCGAACTAAGAAATCTGCGATTGGAACAGCCTAATCTTTCTTTCGATATCTCCCGCAGCTAAAGTAGATGCATCGGTTGCTACAGGTACACCCCTATCTTACTTAGTTTACTAGAACCACGGTTCAATAAGGCATTTCCCTCTGTTCAAACCTTACTGCCTTATATGATTCAATTCCAGAAGAGTTCCGTTGGGTAAAGAATATCGATCAGGAGGGCACGGGGTTAGCAGCATAGCGCAATACAGGCTAAACGACTCGGCCAAGGGATGAAAAGATTGCAGCTGGTGGAGACCATCAATCATCGTGTGGATCCAGGCCGGCTCATAAGTAAATAGAAAATCAAAAATAGTTCCAATCGTGATGGTTGTTCAACGACGAAGAAAGAGCTTCCTCG